TAGTAATTTATACAAATAGATGGTTTAGTATTTGCGGTTACCAAAAGCTAATTATTGAATTCCATTTATCGCAACTCGAAAAAGATTATTAAAAAATAAAAAGACTGGGTAAATACACATTTTGAGCTGAGGCGCGTTGAGACACCAGAAGAGAGTTGGGCACGGGATCTTTAAACCACATTAAACACCATAGCAACGGCAGAACCTCTTCCTGGGATCATGGCTGTGACTTTTCCAAGTGCGTGGATGACTCAGAATATCAGAATATGTTAAAATGGAGTTAATCACCATCATCACATCTCGGTAACCTCATCAATGTCATCAGATCGAGCGTCCTCACCGTGGGCTTCTGGCGGCAGGTGGAGGCAGAACCATCTCGGTGAAACTCCTTTTGAGTGGGAGCCGTTTAAAGTGAGTGCCATTATTACACTGCATTAGAGTTGATCTCTTTGTCAGAATGGCAGTGCGATGCTTTTAGTACCACGGCCGTCCGGATTACACCACGACTTCGTCATTCTCTCTCTCTCTCTCTCTACGAACGTCTCAGTGGGCAGCGCAAATCGCAGGCCGGTAATTACCATCAAAGCCTCGCCGTGCCTTTAAACTTCGCACGGACACATAGAGAGATGTTTCTGAAATGGCTAAAAATCAGGCAGAACAAGAGTATATTAACTAAGAAACCTTTAAAGATGTCAATTTACTCTGTCTGAATCATGGACAGACCTCGCTGTTTCATCTTAATATGCCAGAATATACAGTTCAGCTCACGCTGGGAGCAGTTGGTGGTGTCTTCATCATTTCACAGCTTTAATGTCTGGAAGCAGACAGAAGCAACATTAAGGGAAACTATTCAATGACTTTTAGGGGGTCAACTTACACAAGGTTAAAGCCAGGAGCAGTCTGTAAGAACGACAGCTAGTGGTCGAAATAGGTACTGCAGTCCAAATTAAAAATATCCAAACGCAATTTGTTGCTGTGGAGACTTACACATTTTAAGTTGATGAGTTGATTCATCCACGTTTTAATATCTCGTTCTTAGAGATTTTTTAAATGATACCGAAGCTTTTTAGGTTGTGTGGAATCTACAATCTCTGACCCAGTTTGTTTGCAGGCTGCAATACGCTGTGTTTCATGCTAACTGGCCACCCAGTCGGGGTGTCGAAATACTACTGGCTGAACTGGCAGTGGGCGAGATCACACACACCATCTTAAAGGGGATTTGTGTCATTAGAAAAAACATTTATACACAGAGTACTATAAAGAGTAGGTTAACTTACAACAGAGCACTGTGAAACATGGCGAGTTTGAGGCTACCTGGAAAGTGTTTAACAGCCGATCCGACAAAAAATAGTATGATGGACAAATAGTAGCTTTTGGTACTGTTTGTATATCAGCTGTAGTTCCTTAGACTAGCACCACTTTTGTTCATCTATCACCTGACAACAGAGATTGCCAATCAAAAACACAAGTAGAAGATTACACACATTCTCAACAAAGCTTGAGACAATATGACACAGAGTAGATAATGTGTTTGTGTATGCATGCATGGGTGTTTGTGTGTTTGCCAGTCTGGATACATGACAGGTATATACTGTGTGTGTGTATAATATATATATTGTGACAGAACAGCGGTCTCACCCTTATTATCAGTGCCACCCTGACGCTTAAATGGCCTCCCTTCACCAGGTTCACAACTAGAGTGTGTGTGAGTGAGAAGAGGGCTGTAACAACCAGGACTGACGGCACATTTTGAGACACACTTGAATCGAATGGAGCGTCGTCGCCAGCGCTGTTAAATGCAGAGCAAACCCCTTTCGGAAGACCGCTCTCTTTTCCCCATGCATGTACACTTGTGTCCTTGTAGGTCCAGTAGGGAACCTAACCCTAACCATTAGTTTACTTTTATTTTATTTTTTTGCAAACTTTGAAAAGATTCAGTTTACGTTTATAAGGAAACCCAACTTAAAAAACACTCATTGATTATCAATTAATCCACAAATCACTTGAGTACCAAAGCGTGAGGCCTGGTCCATACGGATCATGGATCAACTGCGATCCGCTTTACCCCTAATCGGTTCAAATCAATAATGAAAATAATCAACAACGAATTTGATTATCCGACCATCTGGCAGTCACAGTGCGAACATCAAAGAACATCAAACAAACGAATTCACTGCTTTATATTACAGTAAGAACATCAAACAAACGGATTCACTGCATTATATTACAGTAAGAGCATTAAACAAACACATTCACTGCATTATATTACAGTAAGAGCATCAAACAAACGCATTCACTGCATTATATTACAGTAAGAGCCTCAAACAAATGCATTCACTGCTTTATATTACAGTAAGAGCCTCAAACAAACGGATTCACTGCATTATATTACAGTAAGAGCATCAAACAAATGCATTCACTGCTTTATATTACAGTAAGAGCATCAAACAAACGCATTCACTGCATTATATTACAGTAAGAGCATCAAACAAACGGATTCACTGCTTTATATTATAGTAAAAGCATCAAACAAATGCATTCACTGCTTTATATTACAGTAAGAGCCTCAAACAAACGGATTCACTGCTTTATATTACAATAAGAGCATCAAACAATGCATTCACTGCTTTATATTACAGTAAGAGCCTCAAACAAACGGATTCACTGCATTATATTACAGTAAGAGCATCAAACAAATGCATTCACTGCTTTATATTACAGTAAGAGCCTCAAACAAACGGATTCACTGCATTATATTACAGTAAGAGCATCAAACAAATGCATTCACTGCATTATATTACAGTAAGAGCATCAAACAAATGCATTCACTGCTTTATATTACAGTAAGAGCATCAAACAAACGGATTCACTGCTTTATATTACAGTAAGAGCATCAAACAAACGCATTCACTGCTTTATATTACAGTAAGAGCATCAAATAAACGGATTCACTGCTTTATATTACAGTAAAAGCATCAAACAAACGGATTCACTGCTTTATATTACAGTAAAAGCATCAAACAAATGCATTCACTGCATTATATTACAGTAAAAGCATCAAACAAATGCATTCACTGCATTATATTACAGTAAGAGCATCAAACAAATGCATTCACTGCTTTATATTACAGTAAGAGCATCAAACAAACGCATTCACTGCATTATATTACAGTAAGAGCATCAAACAAACGGATTCACTGCTTTATATTACAGTAAGAGCATCAAACAAACGCATTCACTGCATTATATTACAGTAAGAGCCTCAAACAAACGGATTCACTGCATTATATTACAGTAAGAGCATCAAACAAATGCATTCACTGCTTTATATTACAGTAAGAGCCTCAAACAAACGGATTCACTGCATTATATTACAGTAAGAGCATCAAACAATGCATTCACTGCTTTATATTACAGTAAGAGCCTCAAACAAACGGATTCACTGCATTATATTATAGTAAAAGCATCAAACAAATGCATTCACTGCTTTATATTACAGTAAGAGCCTCAAACAAACGGATTCACTGCTTTATATTACAGTAAGAGCATCAAACAAATGCATTCACTGCTTTATATTACAGTAAGAGCATCAAACAAACGCATTCACTGCTTTATATTACAGTAAGAGCATCAAACAAACGGATTCACTGCTTTATATTACAGTAAGAGCATCAAACAAACGCATTCACTGCTTTATATTACAGTAAGAGCATCAAACAAACGGATTCACTGCTTTATATTACAGTAAAAGCATCAAACAAACGGATTCACTGCTTTATATTACAGTAAAAGCATCAAACAAATGCATTCACTGCATTATATTACAGTAAAAGCATCAAACAAATGCATTCACTGCATTATATTACAGTAAGAGCATCAAACAAATGCATTCACTGCTTTATATTACAGTAAGAGCATCAAACAAACGCATTCACTGCATTATATTACAGTAAGAGCATCAAACAAACGGATTCACTGCTTTATATTACAGTAAGAGCATCAAACAAACGCATTCACTGCATTATATTACAGTAAGAGCCTCAAACAAACGGATTCACTGCATTATATTACAGTAAGAGCATCAAACAAATGCATTCACTGCTTTATATTACAGTAAGAGCCTCAAACAAACGGATTCACTGCATTATATTACAGTAAGAGCATCAAACAATGCATTCACTGCTTTATATTACAGTAAGAGCCTCAAACAAACGGATTCACTGCATTATATTACAGTAAGAGCATCAAACAAATGCATTCACTGCTTTATATTACAGTAAGAGCCTCAAACAAACGGATTCACTGCATTATATTACAGTAAGAGCATCAAACAAATGCATTCACTGCATTATATTACAGTAAGAGCATCAAACAAACGCATTCACTGCTTTATATTACAGTAAGAGCATCAAACAAACGGATTCACTGCTTTATATTACAGTAAGAGCATCAAACAAACGCATTCACTGCTTTATATTACAGTAAGAGCATCAAACAAACGGATTCACTGCTTTATATTACAGTAAAAGCATCAAACAAATGGATTCACTGCTTTATATTACAGTAAAAGCATCAAACAAATGCATTCACTGCATTATATTACAATAAGAGCATCAAACAAATGCATTCACTGCATTATATTACAGTAAGAGCATCAAACAAACGCATTCACTGCTTTATATTACAGTAAGAGCATTAAACAAACAGATTTACTGCTTTATATTACAGTAAGAGCATCAAACAAACGCATTCACTGCTTTATATTACAGTAAGAGCATCAAACAAACGCATTCACTGTGTCTTTTGCACATGGGGTTTTGGTGGTGTTTGTGTTTGATTTGATTCCAGCAAGTAGAACACACACTGGTCATCAACAAATTAGCAGGAGTTGTTGCCAGAATGATTAATGAATGCATTTTGACTAATATCAAATAACATTTGATAAATTTCAATACTAAACCCTCAACCTAAAATAGCGTATTAATGAAACATGTACTAACCGTGATGCACCACTCCTCTCAGACCGTGAATGATCGGATCTACTGCAGGATTGTCCTTCATCCCCACCTGAGAAAGACAGAAAGAACACAAATAAAAAGGAATGAGTTTCCAATTCATGTTGGATGTAATACAGACAATCAGATAGACAGATAGATAGAAGAATAGATAGACAGACAGAGATAGATAGATAGATAGATAGATAGATAGATAGATAGATAGATAGATAGACAGACAGATAGATAGAAAGATAGATAGATAGATAGATAGATAGATAGATAGATAGATAGATAGATAGATAGATAGATAGATAGATATAGATAGATAGATAGATAGATAGAGATAGACAGATAGATAGAAGAATAGATAGATAGATAGATAGATAGATAGATAGATAGATAGATAGATAGACAGATCCTTTTTTAAACAGAAAAACCTGGTAGATAGCTGATGTCATACAAGCAAAATGACTGCAATCACACACACACAAACACACACTCACATAAGAGAACCCATAATGCGTCACCCCCCCTCTAACGCTGCCTGTGTTTGAGACGCGTCTGAACTGACTGAATTGTTGAACACAGACAAAAGACTCCAGTACGCAAAAAACCTGAAAGAGGGAAGCATAGTATGACCTTTAATGTGTGTTTCTGAGTGTGTGTGCCAGCAGAACAGACGGATAGCAGTGCTGACTATATACAAAAATAAAATGGTTTGAAAATAATGAACAATCTTGATCCTAAAAAAAGCTCAGATCAGGTGAAATCCATAACAGGCATCGCACATTTCCTTCGCTTCTGTTGGATGGAGGAGTATCAAATACAGGTTTGTGCTTTAAGAATCCCCTATAGGGTTAAATCAGGAGACAGGCTCTGACAGAGAGGACCCGAGAGGTGAGGTCTATTGTTGAGTTTGTGTGTGTGTGTGTGTGTGTGTATGAAGGAAGCCAGTGCTGGTTAGCCGATCTAACCAACATTCCCATGAGGCAGGAGTGAAAAGGATTCACGCACATCCACTGGCCCTGAGCCACCTCTCTCTCTCTATCTCTCTCCCATAAATCTCTCCAGGCTCTTTGAACACTCTTGTGCTGTTTCCTGCATGAAAGAGAATTCCAGAAGCTCAGCACAGGAAGTGGGCACTGAAAGTTAACCGCACAAGTCTACACTACAACAGCTATCTTGAACATTCCTCTAATACATATTTAAGGGCAAAAACGTAAAGACTGCTCTTCACTGAAGACACACGACAGACAGACAGACAGACAGCCAGACAGACAGACAGACAGACAGATACATCCACCTTATTCTGCACCCATTCTAGTTCCCATGATTCATAGCGGGTTCAACTGACTAAACAGTTTTCTACTTCCACTCTAGTCCAGACATTAGTAAAATATCAGTCTACACATGCATTTTATATTTAATATGAGCAACATACACATAACACAACAAATCTTTAACTTTTAGGTGCAAAACAAAAGTAATAGCCTACTAACCGGACGAGGAAGGGTCAGCCTCCACAGAACATAAAATATTATTTTTATTTTATTTTTCGTGCATTTATGAAAAAAAAAAAAAATGTAACAGACGTGACAGTTCTCCATTACGCACATGACCGCTCTGAAAATGACTTTACAACTTTCACCGAGATCTTAAAGAGAAACCACAAAGCCTTTCTTTAAAGTGAATTTCCTTTTTTATTAATTTTATCTTCATTTTAAACAGTGTTTTATCAACCAATTGCCTGGTTTTAATAAATAAGAAGTAAATATGGTAGAAAATAGATCATCATGACGGAGGCGTTCTAGGCGTTCTCATAAATGAAACGAAACTCGGCGTATAATGTAGATACTCTCCTCACAGGCCTGATATAGACTGCATCTTTGAAAGCAGAGGTAGACCGGAGTCAAAGGGCTAACCCGCCTAAGATAGCACAGAGACATGTCGGATGTTCATGCATTGCTGGATTATGGAGATCATGCAATCAGCATCAGTTATGAAGAAAAGAAAAAAGTTCATTTTGTTTTTATCTGTGATTTAATAAAAAATAACGTGATTAGATCACATTTGATGAATGTTTTTTTTTTTTTCAATTTAGACAGACAGCAAAGACAGTGAGAGGTTTTTTTTTTAAAACAGAGCTCATATCGTGTTCAACATTGCATTCATATTGACTAGAATAGTGAAATCGCTGCACAGATGAGCCTGCAGTGCCAGAGGTCTCCCACAACCCACAAACACCTGGAGTTCCTCGTACAGCAAACCCTGAGGTAAAATAAATAGCAGCAAACTCAGTTTAAGAGCTCTGTTCCACCTCACAAGTAAAAATAGCACGTGCAAATCAATAAAGTTCAAAGTACGCTTTAGCAGATGGAAAATAAAAATGCTTATTTGTTGTATTAAGCTCAGGGTGAGGTTTTAATATGGCTGCTGTGAGCTGAGAGAGGGAACAGAAAGCCCTGCGATTGATTCAAAGTAAACGAGGAACGCAAATAACTGC